TACTGGCCCATTGTTAGATAGATGTGCTGCTAAATGGAAACTAAAAGCACCTTTCCTGGACAACGAGGATCTAGAGGAGATGTGGCCCTGCCATTTTGTACAGTTGGTATTCGCAAGCAACCAACTAATATGATTTAAACTTGCACACTGTATCTATTTAACCCCAGCACGTTTCTGAAGCAACTCCAAAACTGCAGAATGCCAACGTTTTTCTTACATTGGATGCCAGAAAAGTCATTGCATGCAATTGGCAAAAACCTAACTCTGCTATGCTAGTTTTCTGGATATCTTTAACTACATCATACGCCTCCTATGAAGCAAATTACCTGAGTGGAGGTTGTCCACTCAAATTCCATAAAGTGTGGTCTTGGTTAGATTCTCCTCTTACTGCCACTCCACGCTTTTATTAGGAGATGCATTGGCTATGTGGTTATTTCTCAAAAATTCTATCCCTTGAGTTTGATATTGTTTGATTGTAAAGATGTGCTTGTGCTTACTTGTGTTGCATGGGTCTGCTTGACCTTCCTTTCAGCACCAACACTGTTTTACTCTCTACCTCTCAGCTGGTGGTTTAAGAGCCTGCTTTATCTGTACTGCTAGCTGGGATCTGAGATGCAGTGTTTTTAATGCCAGCCTGTAGGGATGCACAGATACCGTTTTTTCAGTATCGAGTGCAAATATTATTTTCTTTTTCGGTACACCCGCTAGCATGGAGCCAGCTTCCAGGCCAAGCAGGGAGTCGGGAGGTGTGTCATTAGCCACCGCCTGGCTGCTTAAATGCCGGGGAAGCGGGCTCGATGCTGATTTTCCGGCCAATCAGCATCATGCCGGCCGAATGGCATGGAGCCGCCTTCATGGCCAATCGGAGAGCTAGCCGACGAGTCATTACCAGCTTCCTGATTGCCCGGGAAGCCGGCTCCATGTTCTCTTCCGGGACTGCTGGACAGAGGAAATCTCTCTAACCCGACGTTCCTGTGTCGGTAGTACGTATCAGCCCAAATACTCGGTATTGGCATCGATACTAGTATCTGTGCATCCCTATCTGCAAACTTGGTTGAGAAATAATTTAATCTGTACGTTTTACAGTTCTACCCTCGCTATCCAAAACGAATGAAATAACTTTGTCTTTAAGTTCTTTATTGTGCAAAAACTGGAGAAAATAACTTTTTTCAACCCTGAGATACCCTTGATTGTCATTATAGCTCCAAGTGCATTCTTCTGGTCTTTGTAAGTGCACATATACTGTATCAGAACCAGCAAACTCTGCTAAACCTTTAGGTGAAGCACACAGCAATTAGAGTAAATAAATTAGCTATTTTCTTTTCTTCAGTTACTGCAGTAGCTGAGCTCAATGCTGCTACTGCAGGTGGAGGTGAGGTGTGCACTGCACAATGCTCCATTTTTGAATGCTCCGGATGAACGTCCAGCGTCTAGAATATCCCAGATTCTAGCCAGGATATGACTGATCTCTACAGTAGGAGTTTTACAAGCAGACTTCAGGGGCACAGCTAATGGCCTATGCCTGTACCTTTTAAACTAAATACAATATTTTTAAGCTGCACAGTGTTTTTGAACACATTAGGGCTGCCTGACAACATAGTGTATTGTATTGAAAAGGTGAACTTGACCTTTAACTTTGCATTGGAGCAAGTGTCAAAGACTGGTTGACATATATACAGATCTGTAGCGTTGCAATCCCTCTCAGGCACACATTGAGCAATATTAGGGATGCACCGATTACCAGTTTTTCAGCATAGAGTACCGATATTTATCTTTCGGTACTCGCCGATACTGAGTACCTATGCTGATACTTCCGCTAGCATGCAGCCAGCTTCCTAGGCAATCAAGAAGCCGGGTGGCGGGTAATGCCCGGCTTCTTGATTTGCCTGGGAAGACTTCCATGCCAATCAGCATTGTGCTGGCCAAACAGCATGGAGCCAGCTTCTCTGCCAATCGAGAAGCAGGTCATTCATTACCTGCCGCCCGGCTTCCTGATTGGCCGGGAAGCCAGCTCCATGTTCTCTCATGGTACTGCCAGTCAGGAAATCTCCCTCTCACCGGAAGTTTCGGTATCGGGGGTAAGTATTTGAGTGAGTATTGGTATCGGGATCGGTGCATCCCTAGTTAATATGATAGGTAAATATTATGATTGGTTTGAGCAGTTAGTGTCCAGGGAAGTGCAGTGTGTTGTGGCTCTTACCTGCCCTATTTTGGCCATTACCATTTTGCAGCCACTCATTTGTGCCTGAGAAGGTTGTAGATCTCTTCCTGGTTCCTAAACGACCTCCAGAAATCCAATACCAGGAATGATGCACTTTCCTCGGTCACATCATCCACACATACTTACCAGCTTCTAGTCTCTAAACTGTCAGGGAAGGCTAATGACTTTCTAGCTCCCCAGGTAGCCACTGGCAGTGGAGCATTAATAACTGTAGAACAGGGGTGTCAAACTCAATTTAATCGTGGGCCACATCAACATTATGGTTGCCCTCAAAGGTATCTGTAAGACTATATAAATGTATCTAATCTTTATCATAATTGCCTCTGAATTCGATTATCACTGGTTTTAGTAATAGCTTAATACCTAGATCTGAAAGTAGAAGTCTAGGAAATGGCCTGGTGGGCCAGATTCGGCCCCTGGGCCTTGAGTTTGACACACGTGTGTAGAACCTTGTTTGAGAAACCCTGCTCTAGTGGGTAAAGATACATGCAGGTGACGTCTACATTTGGTTTGGCTATTTGTGCCCCTACGTTGCTTGTACCTGCCCATTCTGGGTCAATGACTTTGATTGTATCGAAGCCATACATAGCCAGTAAATACTTTTTTTCAGGAGGAGGTCAGCAGAAGTGTACATAAGTCAACATTATGCTTGATGGTACTCTGTCATGGGAACAAAACGCAGAGGCACCCCTGCCGCTGAAACTGCTTTTGAGCCGTACTATGCACAACTGATCTTTTTTTTTGGTATAAGAGCACATTGGAAGGTTGAAGGTGGAAAACCCCTTTTTAAAGAAGATCTCCTGGAAAACTTTTTCTTAACCCTTGTAGTGGTGCTACCCCTGCACTGCAAGGGTTAATTACTTATTTTTGTCTAGGTGCTAAGATATAGCTATACTCACCCGAAGCTCCAAGCCTACCATCTGTTGCAGCACTCCCTCCAGCCTGTTTCATCCTACACTGCAGCATTGAAATCTTCCTCAGCATCTTCACATCTGTACACTGTGTATAGACGTGATGATTTACAGGACCTTAAACCGCTGCAGGGGGAGAAAGGTTCTAGGGAATGGTCTAAGAACGAGCTGACTCACAGCATCGGGTTATTATAACTTTTTTTTATTTTTGCCTAGACAAAAACTAGCGGCTCCGCTGCAAGGGTTAATGGATTTTTTTTTGTCCTGGAGTTCTTGAAACATATTAATGAATATACTTTAACTGTTAGCTTCATGGAATACATACATTGCTGAATAAGCCATAGATTAGTTTGATCCATGGAAATTGAGGACTTTATATCCAGGTTGTTAGACCAGAACTGTTGCACGTTTTATTTATTTGAAGGACAATATTGGCCCATTGAAATTATTATTGCTTTTATTTAAAGGAGAACTATGGGCTTTAGTCTTTTCCCCATAGTTCTCCTTACGGTAACGGGAGGACACAAACTAGCGTCCTCTCGTCACCCTAGGCTCAGTATACAGCGAGCTGTATACTGAGACGCCGCAGTATACCGCGTGCAGCTGCTCGCGGTATACTGAGACGCCGCAGCAGAAGCGTATCACGACAATTGTGCCGGGATCCGCCCAGCTGCGTGACTGACAGCTGGCTCTGCCTATCTAGAGGCAGAGCCAGCTGTACCCGCCCCCTCCCCCTCCGTTCCGCCAGTCAGCGCTGGCGGGGAGGGGGGAATCCAGCCCCTCCCCTGTCACGGCAGAGAGCCGTGACAGGATCGAGAGGTGAGCGAACGCCGGTATGTGTTCGCTCACCTCCCGATCTACTGAGCTGACCTGTGACAGTCTCATTGTCACAGGTCGGCTAGAACTATGAGGTGAGTGAAAATCACTCATCTCATAGTTCTCCTTTTAAGATTTCAATTGTTAGCTTTGAGCAATCGTTATGCCACAAATACCTAAATGCTTTAACTCAAAGATCCAGTAATTCAAATTACCTTGATACAGCTTCCTCAATTAGTGCCACAAATCAAATAAGCTTAATTATGGAGGAGCCTGATTCTGTGTAATCCAATACAAGTAGAAAATATATCATTTAATAAGGTAAACATTTTACTTTCATTTTGCTCTTAAAAATAAAATCAGAAATGACTGCGATAACTGTACTGCTGCTCAAAGACATCTGAGCAGTTAGGTTTAAGAAAACCTGCAATAACAAATATGACGGCTGCCATTGCTGACAGTGACTTCCCTACCTTGGGTCTGTATTATATTTTTTGGGCAAATGGGAATTGAGGGGATTCTGGTTCCCAATAAATAGCGTAGCTTTTTGAGTTGACATGTGCAACAGACATGGGGTAATGGATTAGTAGAGCACATTGATATTGCTTTGAGAACACAGCCTTTATGACTGTGTGTGCTGATATTTATTGGGTAAGATGGCATCTTACTGATGGATAATAGGGCATTGTGGCGCTCAGATATGACTGACTTGCTATTCAAAGATGGGCTCCAGGCAAACCACTAAATACACAGATGAAATGTATATGTGGTAGCTGTTTTACTTGCCAAAGGATTTGTATTTGTGTCCATCTAGTCCTGAGATTTACCCAGACAGCACAGCCAGCCTGGAGATTTTTTTCTCTACTGCAGTTATGTTATACAACTAGGTCTTGTCCTTCCCCCAGCCTGTGATTGGATAGTGGAGGAGCAGCAACAGACTGATGAGCTGATCCCTCTCTCATTCTGTTCTCTCCTCCTATCAATGTGCATTGTTAGCACATGCTCACTGCAGCACAACTGACTGGCTCCTTGTTCTGCTTCTCCTTCTCCAGTCTGAGCTCTGCTGTACAGGGGATTGCAAGAGGCTGATACCAAGTCAAATTCAGGTACTTACACTAATTGCTTTTTTTTAAAACATTATTTGATGCACCACATACCCGCATTAATTGACGTTTTACTTTTTTAATCTGCCTGGAGTTCAGGTTCAAGCCCCTTTTAATCCATGCTTATAGCTTAGTTGCGACTTCTGTCTGGCCCTTCAACACATGCAGGAAACAATCTGGCCCATCGTGAACAAGACTTTGGATATCCTAGCTATTACCTTACAAAGTCTCCAAAAAATAAAAACTTCCTTTTGAAATGATTGTAAATTACATTTGTTATTGTGTCATTTTCTTTTGGACAATTACAAGCCTTTCATTTTTCACTCCAATCTGCCTTTTTCCGTCCCCCTTTCAGGAGTTCCACTTGGAATACGACAAGCTAGAAGAAAGGCCTCATCTGCCATCCACCTTCAATTACAATCCTGCTCAGCAAGCCTTCTAAAGACTTCCCTGTTCATGGGGTATGGCTGTCTCAGCACAATACTCAACTGCAGAACTGATGTGGCTCAGGCATCCTGGTTTTAATTCCTTGAGGATCTGGCAATTGTCTCATGCAAAGGGATCATCACTTGAGGTCCTGCCTTACTAATTATGTGCTGCCCAACAACTAGAATTGTCATTTGTTTCTTTAGTTTGAGCAGGGTCTGTATTTTTTTTTTTTTCCTCTTTTTGTTTTTGTTTTCATTTTATGCCAGCAGACAGACCTAGGTCTGTTCACCGTACACACCAGTACAAGTTTACCACTTTTCCAAAATGTACAAAGGAAGAGAGAGAGAGAGAGGGGGAAAAAAACAAATTAGACAGCAAAGTTTGCATTGTTCATTGTAGCACTATTGGTAATAAAAGAAACACATGTTTGTTCATTTTTATGTGAAGATCCTTCTCGTATTTCATTTGGAAAGATGGGCAAGGTCAGCTTCATTCATTTTACTCCCATTCTGTTTTGAAAGGCGATTTTAGGCCTTGTTCAGCCCCTTCTCAGCCAGTGGGGTTTGTGTCTCATTGCAGTGCAAAGATCTACAGGCCCCCGTGACAGGGAATGGGCAGACAAGAACTCACTATTTAGAAGAAAAAGAGATTGCCGCAACCTCTGGACAATTTCCAGAGTTGTGTTATTACTGAGCTTCATCTTTCCAGAATGAGCAAAACACTGTCCAGTCTTTGTTACGATTTTGTAATAAATGTGTACATTTTTTTTAAATTTTTGGACATCACATGAATAAAGGTATGTATGTACGAATGTGTATATATTATATATATGACACCTATTTTGGAAATGTTTGCCCTGCTGTACCTCATTTTTAGGAGGTGTGCATGGATGCAATATATGAAAATGGGACATTCTGGAACTGCTGGTCAGGGGACTCCATTGTCGCCCTGTGCACTAAAGGGCCAGATTTTCAGCAGCCAAGGACATCCATACCCAAGTGAACGTGATGGGACTTAAAGAAGTGAACTGAGACAATTCACTCTGGCTGTTTGAACAGCAGCGTTTCATAGGAAGAAAAAGATCAATCTTGTATTTTCTGACCACATAAAGGCTTCTTCTCTTTGTAATAAAGTAGAAAAGCTCTCCTCACTGCAGTGTTGGCTTTGATTTGAGAATGTGAAATCATTTGTGCGAACATGACAAAGGTTTCCTTTATTGTGACATAAGGAATGCTGTAAGCGGTGAAAATGGTAAGCATAGGTATTTTGCTGAGAAGAGCTATTGGCATCAGTGACTCCGGTGTCCCAGAATCAGCCCAGAATCCTCAAGTTTGCTGTCGATTTAAATTTTTATGTTGCGTTAAGTTTTTATTTGGTACAAAAGATTACTTTACTCATTTATCCATCTATGTAAGATCATACAATAACAGTTGCCAGGTTTCATCCGAAATGAATTGGTTGTCTAATTTCTGCTTTCATAAAAAAAAACTACATTTGCAGAACTATTGCGGAGCATCTATTCTGAAACTATAGATCTATCATAAAAATGTGCTTTTACAAGAGTAAACTCGAGAGGAGTGCATGCAAACCCAACATTATAGTATTTCACTAATGAATCCAGATCATACAAATATACATTGTCAAGTAAAGTATTTCTTTATATTTTTGCACAAACACTTAGTCATGTTTCTGAACAGCTGGTTCCAAGTCTCTAAGCTCAGCTTCCCTGAAGGGACAGCACAGTCTCCAGCAACTGTTCATCTACTAGCTTGTAGAAGGGTGGAGGGATGAGAGGGGGATAGGAGTAGCTTGATTTGCTGTGTCAGTGCGTTGGAGACATACACAACTTACTAACACACACAAGGGTGATTCCATAGAACGCTGCTTGAGAAAGGAGCCACCCTAAAATAGAATATCAGAGCCAGTGATCAGTGGACCAAATGATTCTGCAGGAAACTAAAACATCAAGGAGCAGCATCCTTAAAACCCTTTTGACTTTAATATCACTTTAAAGTGTGCCAATAAGGATAAAATATAAAAGCTGCCATTGTTGACTTAAAGGAGAACTATGAGGTGAGTGATTTACACTCCTCATAGCTGGAGCCAACGTGTAACATTGAAACTCACATGTGGACTCTATAGATCGGGAAGTAAGCAAACACATACCGTCGCTTGCTCACTTCCTGATCATCTGCCTGCAGAGAGCGCTGACTCAAGGAACGGACAGGGGAGGGGGTGGGCACAGCTTGCTCTGCCTCTAGATAGGCAGAGCCCGCTGTCAATCAGCCAGCTGGGTGGATCTCGACAGTATTGTAAGGATCCCTCCCGGCTGTGGTGCTGTCTGTATATAGCAGGCAATAGCCCGCTATATACTGAGCTTTGGGTCACAGGAGGACTTTGGTATATGTCCTCCCGTGACCCTCAAGAGAACTATGGGATAAAAAGGTTACCCCATAGTTCTCTTTTTAAGGAGATTAAGATATATATGGGCTGCCATTCCAGACTTGGTACAAGAATTCTACAAGCGAAGTCGGAATTCCTGATCTTCATGCTCATTCCAGGTCAATGAATCAGAAAGTACTGAAGCCACTGGATCGACAAGACAACCAGGCATCCAGCATTTTCAGAAGGGGTTAACAATGGCAGCTTGCAGATGTCTTTGACAGGTTTCTTTGAGATTTTAGAATACACATATGCAGATCTAACTGCCCAACTACTTGGTAACTATAGAAACAGTAACTATAGAAACATACTTTCACAAGATTCTTACAAAGTAGTGTGAATCCAATTAGTGGTGTTAAGAACCTGCTGACATCAATATGATGAGTGACTTTATACAGGCAAGAAGGATTTGTTCTGCTGTGTGATATCTGTAACCTGTGGCGTTTAACAGGTTTGGGCAGTACTTGACTGCCTCTAGCTGGAAGCATGTATGATCTGACCACCCTTAAGGGCACACAGTCTTGTGATTGATGCACAGCTCTCCGAGTTCTAGCAAGCTGACAAGTTTACTGGTATAGAAAGTTAAGATGGGAACCGGGAAGCAATGCCGAAAATAGGACCTTTGCCAAGTTTTATAAGATTCAGGGACAATCTACAGACCTGAGTTATTTTCTGGGTGAAAATGAACGGCTCCAATGAGTGATCTGTTAACGGGTAGGAAATATTTGTTGGATTTTAAGCTGCCAGTCAGTGTACCATTGTTGTATGACAACAATGACGAGTTAATTCTTTTGGCGATTTGGAGGATTTTCCAGTATTGAGATCTGTTATCAACTAGTAAAATTATTACTAACTATATAAATACTGTGTTCTGAAGAACTACTTTGAACTCCTATTAAGAAAGCAGAGCTCTGACATTTCAGATTCAGACATACATAACTGGAAAGTGTTTTTTCTTGTCCATTGAGGGACAAAGGAAGACTTTCACTGTTGGGTAATACTGTTGCCTACAAGAGGATTGGACACTGGCAAACTGTAGGCCAACCCGGGACAACCACTCCACTGCTACCAACATGCCTCAGTTTTCTTTTCTGGTGTCTTAGGAGAATGGATATCTTCTCTTGAGCTCTGCTGTGTGGAACACTTAACCTATTTTTGCTAGCACCCCTTTTTCTCCGATTTTTCTTCTATCAAGACTATATTGTTGCTAGTGTTTCTTTGATTCCAGCCGAACGTTGTAAGGATAGCCGGAAGTGACCTTCGGCCACTGGGTTACACATAGGAAACTTTCTCAACACTTTCCATGTCTCTGAAGAATCGCTTTGTGAGTAGGCCAGTATGTCTGAGCATCGGGAGCTGCCTCATTTGCTTTAGTCACTGGATGCCTTTTTCAAATTCTCTATTTCACTTTCACCACGTAAGATGTTAACGCTGTATGACTGAGCGCTGAGGACATCCGGTTGGTGGAGTGTCGCACACTCTTCGCTCTTTCCTTTCCTCTTTCCAGCTTAGCGGACACATCTCCCCACTCCTGCTAGCAAGGAACCATGTCGAACTCCAGTCTTCAACCTGTTTCTGCTGCCCACCTGCAGTGACTTTAGTCACCTGATCCTCACCTGCTACCAGCTGTTCAGAAATTGGAGTCCCCGAGACCTTGCTTCTTACCCTGAGCCTTACCATGGTCTTACCACCACATGGTTGCAGCATGTCTGATTTTAGACATGAGGGACAGTGCTGCTGTACTGGATGCCCCCAGTTCTCACTCTGCTAATGGCTCTGGGACTGATGGTGCTGATGTCTGCAACCTAGAATCATGTTGCCCTTTACTTTAGTCTTGCGATGGTTGTAAAGGGATTAAAAAAACGTACGATCTGCCTATCTTGGACAGGCAGATCGCACTCTCGATCATCGCAAGCCCACCCCCCTGAGGGGCGGGCTTCCGATGACCGCAATGCTGAACGGGCAGTGTGCGCGTGCGCACACCGGCCCGTTCAGCATTTATCTTCCGAGCACCGTTCTAACCAGCCGAGAATCGTACGATTCCCGGCTGGTTTTCGAACATGCTGGTTCGACAGAAGACGTGCGACCGTACAGTAGAAACGGTCGCACGTCTCCGTTCACACTGCTCGATTATCGTACGAAAAACCGATCGCATACGATTATCGTACGATAATCGTGCAGTGTATGGGCACCTTAAAGATCCACAGGCCGCAAAGACTTTTCCATTGTGTCTGTTTTTATAACTATTTCTACGCAGATTTGAAACACTCAGATAAGCTGTTTGCTCCCCCCTAGCTTTTTTTGGTCTTGAACCAGATTATAGAGGATTTTAAATAAAAGCCTATCCCCACTGTGAATCCAGCAGTGTCTTATCATAAACAAGGCTATCCAGTGAAATGTGTGTCCGTCCTTAAGGACCCAAAGATAAGCGTTTGGAAACCCTCTGTAGAACACGCTCTTGCTGGCAGGCCCTGCCCTTACCCCATCCTGGCCGTGACTTTACTTTGCCAAAATATGGCTGACTGGTCAGAAACCCTTAAGAGATCTTACCACTGCTGTGATTTCTCCCTTGGTCATGGAACGCAGTTGGCTGTAGCTGTAAATTTCAGTTGTGACAATCTGTTGGCAGCTTTCTGCCTTGTCTCCTGTCAGTACACATGTGTAGGGCTCTTTGGATAAAGTGCCGGATGGTAGAACTTGCTTGTAAGAAGCTTTTGATTCACTTGCCTTTTAAGGGATGTCTCTTCGCATCAGCTCTTGATACTTTTATCATGGACGCTTCTGGTGGCAAAAGCACCCATCTTCCTCAGTGGGCAATGTCAAAGGAGCAGACTGCAATGTTTTCTTCCTCTTTATCTGTCAAAAAACATCCCTTTTGTTTCTCCACCTTTGAACCCTCCATGTTGAGACCCC